TTTTTTTTTTTTAGAATTTTTACCCAATAATGATGATCCAAAATATCACCCAACTATATTGGTTGTTCTGTGCCGTTGCATGATAATTGTTTAGTACAATTATTAAAAAGTCCAGTGCCTTCGCCCGAAATTTCAGTATCTTCACCCGGTTCAGTCTCTTTGCCCGGTTTAGTCTCTTCACCCAGTCCAGTGTCTTCACCAATTTCAGTGTCTTCGCCCATTTCAGTGTCTTCGCCCGGTTCAGTGTCTTCATCCGGTTTGGTGTCTTCACGCAGTTCAGTATTTTCGCCTAGTCTAGTGTCTTCGCACACTAATAATGTTTATTATCCAGTGTTTTAACCTAAAAATTCAATCCCATCATCCGATAATTAAGGTTGTTGTCAAGTGCTTTCGCCCAGTAATCAAGGTCGTGAGCAAGTTTTTCCGTCTGGTAATCAAAGTTGTGATCAAATGCCTTCACCTGGTAATAATCAAGATTGTGGCCAAGTATCTTCGCCTGGTAAGCAAATTGTTAGTCCTTCGCACAATAATGTTTTTTGTCAGTGTCTTTATCTAAAAATTCAATACTATTATCCGATAATCAAGGTTATGGGCAAGTTTTTTCTCCCGATAATCAAAGTTACAGTAAAGTGCCTTTGCCCGATAATAATTACCAAGTGCTTTCGCTTGGTAATCAAAGTTGTAATCAAATGCCTTTGTCCGGTGATAATCAAGATTGTTGTCAAGTATCTTTGGCCGGTAAGCAAATTTTTGGTCCTTCGCACAATAAGTTTTTGCTAGTATCTTTATCTAAAAATTTAATACTATTATTTAAAATAATCAAGGTTGTGAGCAAGTTTTGTCACCTGGTAATCAAAGTTGCAGTCAATTGCCTTCACTTGGTAATAATCGTAGCCAAGTAACTTCGCTCGGTAAGCAAATTGTTGGTTCTTCGTGCAATAATGTTTTTATCAGTGTCTTTATCTAAAAATTCAATACTATTATCCAATAATCAAGATTGTGGGCAAGTTTTTTTGCCCGGAAATCAAGGTTGTGTGCAAGTTTTTTCACCCAGTAATTAAAGTTGCAGTCAAGTGCTTTCGCTCAGTAATAATCAAGTACTTTCGTCTGGTAATCAAAGCTGTAATCAAATGCCTTCGCCCGGTAGTTGTGGTCAGTATCTTCGTCTGGTAAGCAAATAGTTGGTCTTTCGTACAATAAAGTTTTTTTTTCGTCTTTATCTAAAAATTTAATGTAATCATCTGATAATCAAGG